AATTACATTCCCAATAATGTTCAGAGTGAATGTATTTGTAGTAGCAAAGAACTAGAAGCAATCCAGGTGTTCATCAATTATTTAATGGACAAATAAATTACAATGTGTTCCTACAATCCCATAGGTAATGAAAATGAATGAATTACAGCTACATGCAATAATATCAGTGAATTTCATAATCATACTATTGAATAAGAAATGTCAGACAAGAAGAAATGTATATCGGATGATTTTGTATACATAAAATTCAAAAACACACAATATTGAACCATGGTGTCAGAAGTCAGAAAAATAGTTATCTCTGGAAGAAGTAAGGAGTAATATTTAGAGGGTACCAAAAATGCTTCTAGAATACTGACATGTTCCATTTCTTGATCCAAGTGGTATTTACAAGTATGTTTTACTGGTTTTACCATGCTGTAAATTATAATTTGTGAACTTTCCTTCATATATATTGTACTTAAATACATTTTATTTTATTTTATTATTATTTTTTTTTTTTTTTGAGATGGAGTTTCACTCTTATTACCCAGGCTGGAGTGCAATGGCACGATCTCGGCTCACTGCAACCTCCGTCTCCTGGGTTCAGGCAATTCTCCTGCCTCAGCCTCCTGAGTAGCTGGGATTACAGGCATGCACCACCATGCCCAGCTAATTTTTTGTATTTTTAGTAGAGACGGGGTTTCACTATGTTGACCGGAATGGTCTTGATCTCTTGACCTCGTGATCCACCCGCCTCGGCCTCCCAAAGTGCTGGGCTTACAGACATGAGCCACCACGCCCAGCCCTAAATACATTTTATTTTTAAAAACTTAATGAGAAATAAAAATTGGAAAGGGAAGAAAGCATGTTTCATTAATGAGCATGGATAGCTTATACACTGACAAGAAAGGACAAAGAAAATCTAAAAAAAAATACACTGATGAACTCAAAATGAATATTAACATGAAACCTATTTAATGTAAGAGGAAAACAATCTTAACCATTAAAAAGCTTAAACCCATCATTATGTTGCAGTGTGTTGGGAATTAATTTTAATATACTTTGTCATAGCTCAGTCATTTCCAGAAATACCTCATAGCAGAGAAAGCTAATTGTAGTCCTTAAAATATTCTTCCTATATACACAAGATTTGCAGGTCCAGGGAAATCTAGACACGTGGTCTCTGCTGCAAAATAGTAGGATTATGTGTCAACATCCTGTACAATGTAATGTGAACAGAAATCATGTCTACAACATCTGGGTCATGCCCAGGGAGTGGGTGCTCCCCTGTGTCTTCTTTATGGCATGACCATAGGGGCTAGAGCTGCCATAGTTCAACTGAGAGATGAAGCAATGAGCTGGGGATGGAAGAGCCACCCAAACTGCCTTATATTGGCACAGCTCCAGATTGTTAAATGAAAGAAATAATTTTGTTAATGCCATTTTTAGGTTGGATTTTTGCATCTGAGCCAGATGGCCCATACAGCAATGCTACCATTTTAAGATTTAGTTTCCCTTAATAGGCTACTGGTTAAAAAGAAAACAAAAATCACAGCCAGAACAGACATTTTAAAGACAATTAGGTGAATGTGAATACAGTGTGAATATTAGACATTGAGTCATTGCTCTTTACTTAGGTGTGTTAATTGTTTTGTGTTTATATTTGTTGTTCTTAGGAGATTCACATTGAGATCTTACTCTCTAATGGTCTGGTGATGTAGGCATATATGATAGATGTAAGATAATGTTGCCAGGCATGGTGGCTCACAGCTGTAACCCCAGCACTCTGGGAGGCCGAGGTGGGTGGACCACCTAAGGTCAGGAGTTAGAGACCAGCCTGGCCAACATGGTGAAACTCCATCTCTACTAAAAAATACAAATTAGCCAGGTGTGGTGGCTCCTGCCTGTAATCCCAGCTACTCAAGAGACCGAGGCACAAGAATTGCTTGAACCCAGGATGTGGAGGTTGTAGTGAGCCAAGATCACGCCATTGCACCTCTGAGCAACAACAGCCAAACTGTCTCAAAAAATAAATACATAAATAAATAAGATAATGCAAATATGGCAAAAATATTGATGATTGAATCTGGGTGATAGGTATACAAATTTTGTAGTATTATTCATTGACATTTTCTTTATGTTTGAATTTTTCACAATAAAAATTTGAAATAGTAAAATAAACAAGACAGATATTTTTGATAGAATGTAGTAAGTATCAGGAGCTGTTAGAGCACAGAAGCTAGGCCCTGAGTACAGCACAAAGGAGTCATCAGAATGAAGGCTAACAGCCCTTTAACACAGCAGTTAGATTTGCATTGTGTTGCCATTATTCATTCTATACCTAGAGAGAATGTGCTTTCTTCTTGCTCAGATTAGCTTGCAGATTGTCAACAACTTTGTCAGTCTTCTTCTGTAATTCAGCTTAAATGAGAGAAACTAGTCTGAAGATAGTATTTTGCATTGTTTTGAGTTGATATTGTGAGCATGTTCAGTTTAATACACTTCATTTTCTCATGGTTGAACGTACTTTGCCTGTCTTTTGTGATCCGTCTCATACATACACTGTAGTGCAATTCATCTTAGTTGTGGACTCTGCACCTGCTACTGTCTTCTATGCAAATGTTATCATAGTAATAATAATGATGATGTTTCTTTGTTTCTGAGTGTGGCAAAGCCACACTATGAAAAACCAACTGCTAGAAAATAAATGAAAGCAAACATAGACAATCTTATGCAGGAATGAAACACTTAAAGTCTCATCAATTTGAGCTCCATATTAAGATCACATCTATGGAATTTTACTTCGGCTGGACTGTGGGCTCATTATAGATCTGACTTATCTGCCTTAGGATCAAACTATCTTTTTTCCCATAAGAAATTTCCTCCAATACAAGTTTGAGATTTTTGAGATTTTCTGTATACATTCTCCAGATTAGTATCTGTTCTGTTTATTGATGTTTGCCTGTATTGCATGGTTTAAATTTGTCAGACCAGGAATTTGGAATAACATCACGTTTCTGTAAATAGGCAGAATATTAGTCAATATTACAAACATATAAACATATGGAAAAATTAGACAATATAACTAGAAATTATATGAGTCAATGTATAAAAAATTTTAAAGGAAAAAATCTGACTATCCAGACAAGAGAAAAACCTAATTACTATATTGGACCACTTATCATCAGACTGAGTAGGAAACAATAATTTGAAGGAACACTGCAAAATGCTAAGGGGTCCTGTTCATATTCTAGTATCAAATAATTATACCAAAAAATTAGGAACTTTTATATAAAGGAAAATTTTACTCTATCATATATTCAAAAGTAATAATTTTTCTCTTCTCTTGCTTTCAGAAAATTTAGATTAAAAATTCACCATATTTCTGCAGGACTTTTTTTAAAAAAAGAATAGACAAGTAAGAACAATTTATGTATTCTTCTTACAGTTGAAACAAATATTCTTTAATGGCCGAATAATAAATTCCAAATTATTAGTCTTAGTTACAGAATAATTAGGTAACATTATGACCAGATATTTTATTTCAAAACATTTCAATATTACAAAACAAATGTTTTAAATTGCCCTTTAGTTATGAAAGGTTGCAACCTTCTTTACAGAAATAGATGTCCATTTCTTCAGACAAGTAAAAAAATTTGATTTCAGGAATTCAGGGGATTTAGCTTAAAGTTACTAGGTGCTAGATGCTTGAGGCTCAAAAAAAAAAAAAAAAAAAAAAAAAAAGAACACCAAAATTGCCATTACCCACTGACATGGAAACACACAGACACCACTACTACTGATAGTTCTGTCATTCCGTTTCAAAAACTTACAGATGGGAATTCATTCTCAGTGAATCTGTAAGTACATACATCAAATAATTACAAGATCTGTTTTGTGCCAACAAATTGCTCTAGAAGATGAGATAGATTATTCTTACGTCTAAGCACTGCTTATAGTAAGGAAAATATCTTAGAAGCCTATTTATATTCTAGGTGCATAACTTACTGTTTAGTAAGTTTATGCTGTAATGTGCCAAACAGCATCCTGATTCTTTAGACTCAGAATCCTATTTGTGGCTAAGGAAATCACTGTGATAACCAGAAACACTCTTCATTTTTGTTAATCTTCCTTGCAGATCATATTTCACTTCCAGCTTTGGATATTGTTTCTTTGTAATAAAATACCAGCAATTTAATGTGATAATTCTTCTGAGGTTGCATAGAAAAAGAAAGGCTTAGGTATGACTGAAGAGCTTTTTTTTTTTCTCCCAGAGGAGCTCATTATTGTCTATGCCTAGGATATTATTTTGTTTTCTTGCCTTTTGTTTTACAGGAATAAAAATAACATCTCACCTTTGGTCTAGAAGTATTTGTAGTTGGGATCATTCAATTCAGCAATATTTCAGTTTGATACACTTGCTTCATACATGAAAATTATATTTAAACAAAGTGACTTTCAATTCCAGCTTAAGCAGATGAGAATGAGGAAGGCCATCATATCTGTCACCTCATTCATCACAAGGCTGGAGTTGACTGACATAGCAGGCGAGGCATCATCTCCTTCTGTCCACATTCCTTCTGATGCAGCCGATTGCTGGACTTCCCTCCCCTAGCTACTTTGTCATTATGGCAGTTCTATGTATAGAAAGCATTTGAGGAATTTTACAGGCTGGTAAAATTATTCTGCAAACCTCCTTTTTAAAAAATATATCTTCCAGATGAATATTTTTTGTCTCAAAGTTTTGACTAATTATGTCTTGAAATATTTGCTTCCTTTTAAAATGATTCGTTGGAAACTTGGACTTAATAAGAATCACACAATCCTTTTCACGTGGTTTTTAAACCACTTGGTTCAAGACTCCACTAAATACTACTCTTAAGCCACAGATTTCTTCTTCAAGTGAAAGAAAATGCTTTTGTTGTTATCTTATACCAGGATTTGTTTTAACATGAAAAATCAATACTTGGGATACTGGAATGAACTCTTCTCCTTTTTTTTTTCTTTTTAATTTTCAGGAACTAAGAAAAAGAAGACATCTGAGTCACAAAAGCAATAGGCAGTCAACTCAACCTTTAAAGGTAAGTAACAGTATTGCAAATTTGTTTTCTCTGCAGAAAAATAATACAACTAAAGTAATCGGCAGGCATGTCTTTGAAAGTCATCAGAACATGGGTTGTCCTTGTATATTCCATAGTCACTAATTTTTTGTTAAATATTTATGCTGCCTTTAGAGTCATCAGTTTTTGTCACGTTGAATGATAAGCTTTCAAAGAATGGGAAATTGGAAATGTCACATCCTTACTTTTTGCCCCGTATCCTCAATTTATCCTTGTTGATGGATAAGTAATGAGCCCTTGCACTCCAGAGTCACTTCACATACTTAAAAAAAGAAAAAAACTCTTCAACTACATCAGCACATTTTAATTCCTACGAGCAAGAGAGTATTAATTACATCACAGAAATCATTCTGGCTAAAGAGGCTGCAGCTGTTCTCACTTTCTAAATGATATTGTATCATTTAACAAGTCAATGCCTATGTTGCCTCATCTTTTTCATTATGATATCAACTAAGTAATTGAGAAATATCTCAACAAAGGTGGTTTTCTGTCTTTTAAGTGATTGGGTTTAAACGTTTTCCTAAAAAGCTAATGACAAGGTACTATTTTGATGAAGATTCCTTTTGGTTGGTGTCTTTCTCTAGTTCACGACTGGTCTATTTATATGTTCCCTTGTTCTTTTTTCTGCCTATTTGTGTTTTCTTCTTCTTTTCATTCCTTAAGATGAAAACTACAGCCACCTGAACCCTAACTTGTTGGTATTCTGGATTCTGCTGGTAGAAATGACTTAATTTTACTACCCATACAGCCTGCTGGCTCTCAGGGTTTCTCTAGTTTCCCTCATTTATGCACCAGCCTTTCAGGTTCTGTCTGATTGCTCAGCTGTCCAGTTTCTTTCAGCCTGTCTCTCCCTAAATTCTCCCTAATTGTCATCTTCTGTTTTTCTGAAAGTCAACTACTCTTTGACAAGCCCACTCTCTTCATTCCTATAGCATCATATCCTCCAGCTGCCAACTTCCTAAAAATGCGATAGCCACAGCTTCCCTGTCAAAGCCTCCTTCACAGATACTCATATGATATTGGGACTGAAAAGGGACTTACCCAACCATTTTCCTTTAGGGTAAAAGAAACTGAAATCTGAAGAGGTGAATTACCAAAATTAAGCAGTAATTAACCATAAAGCCAGAACTAATCCCAAGATATTTTAAAGGCTAAGAATTATATTACTGGGGGCCAATAATTCAGACTTGGCTCCTAGTGATATACTTCTTTGCTCCCAGAGATTCTGAGTTATGTCTAATGGTGATCAAGTACCTTCAGTTGCCATAAGCTTTAGTAGTGTGCAATTGAAATGCAAAGAATGAGGTCTGAAATCTGCCCAGGCATTTAGCAATAGCACTTCCATGATTTGATTATGCTTCACTCTCTGTAGCCAGAGAGAATTCTACTGAATTTGCAGCTGAGTTGGAAAGGGGACATTTTATTACATATATTAAAAAAAAGGAATTGTTTTGCTTTGGTTGAAAAGAATGTTGGAATCATCCCATTGGATATTAAATAACATAATTGGCAGAGGTTTTTAGCCTTGGTTGATCTTCCTCAGTTATTTTGCTTAGCTACCATGGTAAAAGACTTGTTCATAGATCCTCTCTGTGGCAAATTATTTGGTAGCTTTGATTTTAAAAAAATTTACCACCCTGTTTTGAAAAGTTCTGGACCTCTTAAGATGCCTTCTGTTTTCTCAGAGCTCCCACCCCCATCCAGTGGTATCTTCAGGGTTGATCATCAATGTGCTCTTCACTGTGCCCTTCTGAAGCCTACTGGGAGCAAAATTTTACTTATTCAGTTTAACTATTCATGAGTGAATGACTTATCTATTGCAATCAACTCCTGAGTCTGACTTGTCAGTTTGTGGAAAGATGTTCAGAGATGAAGCCATTGTTTGTTTGGTTCTTATTGGTATTCATGAGCATCCTTGGCAACTTGTCATGCTGTACACTTGGATAGCATTTTGTGCCTTTACATTATGTCACTTGAGCCTTTGAGGTAGGCATGGCTGGTACTATCTCCAGATTATGGCTGAAGAATCTTTAGCTCAGAGAGATTAAGTGACTCGCCCAAAGTCACTTAGATAGTAAGTGGCAAAGTTAAGACTGGAATCTCCACCTCATGCCATTGCTCTTCCATACCACTCTGGTAATTAAGCTTTCAGATTGTCTTGTCTTTTTGTCACACTCAAATTTGTCTGAAAGAAAGAGACACCAGACATTTAGAAGCAGGACCAGAAGAAACATTTTCATTCCCAAAAGGAGGAGTGAGCTACCACTGTTCTATACTGCAAAAAAGATTTAGGTTCTACTTTCAAAATTGCTAATTTAACAGAATTCCAGTTACAGAGACAAATAAGCAAATGAATGTTTGATCTCATGGCTGGGCACAGTGGCTAATGCCTATAATTCCAGCACTTTTAAGAGGCTGAAGCAGGAGGATCACTTGGGGTCAGGAGTTCAAGACCAGCATGGCCAGCATGGCCAGCAATGGTGAAACCCTGTCTCTACTAAAAATACAAAACTTAGCTGGGCATGGTGGCACACACCTGTAGTCCCAGCTACTTAAAAGGCTGAGGCAGGAGAAATGCTTGGAGGCAGGAGAAATGCTTGAATCCAGGAGGTGGAGGTTGCAGTGAGCTGAGATATCACCACTGCATTCCAGCCTGGGCGACAGAGTGAGCCTCTATCTCAAAAAACCAACCAAACAAAAAAAACTTAAATCTCAAGTTTCTTTGACCACTAATAACATTTCTATGTAACAACTGATTAAAAGCATGCAGTATGCTCAGAGTCAAGCTCTCAAATGCTCTCCTTACTCAATACCTCACAAAGAACATGTGGGCATTCTGTTATATGACTAATGAACAGTGTCTGTGGGCAATGCTACAGAAGGCTGCAGAAACAGCTTTTCGCAAATTACAGAATTCTGGAAAGGCCAGGTAATTTTCCTATGTGGCTGCCACCTGTCATATGAACTTTCAGACTTGCTAGGAAACACTGAGGATTCTCGAGAAAAGTATAAAAATGGAAGAAAGGGCAGGGGAAGAAATGGTGGGTCTTTTACAGATCACCAGCACTGTCCTCAAGACTATGCAATTGCTTGGATCCATAGAAAGCACCAACATTGCAAACACAGCATAGAAACTAACAACCAGTAACTGCTCTTATACACACAAGGCATTCTTAATAAAAGTGCTGGTGATGGAGTCTTTCCATGAACTGAGCTATGTTCACGTATCTCTTACTATCCTCAGTGGTCTAAACTGGACAGTCCAAACATGGACTGTCCTTCTTGCCCTCCAAGGAGTGTTCCTTAGGACATGACAAGACGTTTTTATAGCAGTTTCTCCTGGGGCCACTTTTTGTGAGTGGGGAGTTGGTATGTAACAGCCCAGAGAGAGAGACTAATATTTAATGCTCCTTAAGGTGAAACCTGCCCTAAGGGAGTTTTGAAAGTAAAATAGTTACATTTTCTGATGTCAGTGTTTTTTGTCTATACTTTGTGGCATATTCCTTCAATCTCTGCACTGATAATATCTTTCTCCTCTCAGCCCCAAACTGATCTATCAATTTCCAAAATTCTTCAGCCAGTTGAAATTTCATGAGTATTTTTTCCCACAACCTCATTCTTTCAAAGTACAGTGTGCCCTTCTTGTTGGTTATCCTGTTCTTGTTTTCCCAGCTTTACCTTTATGGTGTTATGGTCCAGTTGTATGGAAGAGTAAAAAGACCTGCAATCTAGGCTCCCTGTCATGCTGATCAAAGACATTTCATAACTTAAAGAAAATCAAATGCCTAAGCAAACGTAGTGGGTTCCACTTTCATAGAGGAGACATAGAACAAAAACATCTCAGGCTGTAAGGCCTCCTGATAAGAAGTCTACAGAAAATCCAAGCCTGTTGCACACAGGAAAACAAAGCTTTCTTTTTTTTTATTGCATTTTAAGTATCTTACCTGGTTTCTTTCAAGTCTGGGGCATACCTGAAATATTAAAAGAAAAGATAATTAGGCACTACTCAAGTACCACCAAGAAGAAAATGAAGGGTGTGAACATTTAAAAATGGGTCAGTAAACTGGTTGCCTCAAAACCATTTTGATCCCCATATTCAAGACCAGAAGTGAAGAGTATTCATGTCCAGATAATGAAATATAATAGCTAAGCTGCTTAGGCAAGAAAGAGGCCTGCACATCATAAATCATTAAATTGTAACCTAAACAAGTACGCATTACAGAGTTGAGTTCACAGGGGAAAAAATGAATAATCCTTTCACCTTCGCAAAAGTTCAGGTCTCATAGAAATAATTTCCTCCCATGGCTGGGCACTGTGGTGCATGCGTGTAATCCCAAAACTTTGGGAGGCCAAGGTGGGAGTTCAAGGCTAGCCTGGGAAGGATAGTTAAACTCTGTCAACTACAAAAAATTTAAAAGACAGCCAGGTGTGTTGGCATATGCCTGTAGTCCCAGTTACTTGAGAGGCTGAGGCCAGAGGATCATTTGAGAGGCTGAGGCCAGAGGATCATTTGGAGTATATGCCATTGCACTCCAGTGTGGGCAACAGAGCTAGACCTTGTCTGAAAAGACAACAACAACAACAAAATTTCTCTCCTGCTGTTACTGTCATGCATCTGTGAGTATGATCAAGACCTGCTGATTGTAGTTCTTAATTTAAGGTTAATATGAATGGAAAGACTCTGAACACCTCTCCTTCATATTGCCCTCATAATAACTGAAGCATGTTTCCAGTCAGAATTACATTTCACCATGCATTGCCATTTTTTGTTTTGCTCAGGACAATAACATCCAAGTCTAGAGAAAGTGAAGATGCCTAGCATGTTGCAACCAACCTTCATCACACAGGAGAGGAACCCAGAAGCAAGCAAGCAAGCAAGAAAATGGTTTCTTTCAGAAAAAAAAAAAAAAAAAAAATTCCTTAGGCCTTTACTGTCACCATTTCTGAAAGAAAAATGTAGAGTTAGTGGACAAGTTAAAGTATTTGTTTTCTAAGCAGTTGAGAAGAAAAACACTGGTCAAAAGCAAAACCAGCACAGTCTTTATTTTGTTCACATGAAGTGCCCTTGTGACTTCAGTCTTTTATACCCTGCCCAACTGTTAGGTCTACGACTTTCACAATTTCTGCAGATACATTTTCCAAAAGCATGTGTCAGTAATTATAAATCTTGGAGTCAATCTGATTCTCTATAATTGGAATCTGTCTCCTTGAAGTATGGGTTAATTCAGCTTCCTAAAGAAATAATGAGTGAAATTTCTATGGAGTAACCAGCTGGGAGTTTTTAAACCTGCCTACACTTATCACAAATTTGCCAAAAGAGTCTCACCTTTCGACTTCTGATACTATGTGTAAAATCTCATGCACAGGAACAGGAAATCCCGAAGGAACAAAAATATTTTAATTAAATAATGTAATAGAGCTATCTTTTAAAAATACCATCCTTAGTAATTCTTCTGTAGCTCTGTTTCTGTCAACAGTCTAAAAGTTTAAAACATAAAATATGCCCATTATTTATGTTGACCCTATTTGTAGTGAGAAGGTATAATTGCTTCAGTTTTGTGACAATATCCTGCCTATACCTTATAGTCCTATTTAATTTAAATTGATTTATGTATATATTTATATAGCATAACAGGAAGATATGGTACATACTTTCTTGGAGTCTGAGGAGAAAGAGAAAAGTAAGAATTTTTCTCCAATATCTTCTTTTAAAAGACTAAGAGTAAAATTGCCCCAAAATCTTATTGGTGACCATGAAGAGAAATTCAATGAGTTTTGTTGGTTTATTTCATCCAAACACCAAAAGGTAAAAATATTTTTTTAAAATATACCAGGGGATTCAAACATATGATTTGTTGTTTGTTTTTGTTTTTTGAGATGAGTCTCTCTCTGTCACCCAGGCTGGAGTCCAGTGGTATAATCTCCATTCACTGCAGCCTTGACCTCCCAGTTTTAAGTGATTCTCCTGCCTCAGCCACCTGAGTATCTGGGATTATAGTTGTCCACCACTCCACCTAGATAATTTTTGTATTTTTAGTAGAGACGGGGTTTCACCATGTTGGCCAGGCTGGTCTCGAGCTACTGACCTCAGGTGATCCACCTGCCTCAGCCTCCCAAAGTGCTGGGATTACAGGTGTGAGCCTCCACGCCCAGCCCCAACATATGCTTTTGTTGCAGGACTTTTCCTTAGTTTAGCTAAAGACAGTTACTGTCCATCCCATGGCCACAAAAGGCCATGAAAATTTAGGCTCCAAGATGGTTTAAAGCATGAGTAAAGCAGGTTTTATTGAGTGAGAAAGGGAAAAATGGGGGGAAACAGATCCTCTGCAAGGCTGGAGTCCCCTGCTAGAGGGCTTCCCATACTGCCATTTGAATACCAGGTTCCACACAGGAAGAGGCAGGCCATCTCCTCCCCTCTGCAAAGGGCACGAACCCAAGGCTCCATCTCAGTGGGCAGGCTGATTGGAGATTCTCCAGGGACCTCCTCCCACCTCTCTGCCCTGCTTTTATACCAAAGTTCATAGAGCATTATTCACAAAAGCCCAAAAATAGAAACAACACATATCCATCGACAGATGAATGGATTTTTAAAATATGGTGTATAATACAATGAAATATTATTCAGTTATTAAGAAAAGAATGAAGTTCTAATACATGCTACAACATGGATAAACTTTGAAACATGTTAAATGAAATAAGCCAGACACAAAAGGACAAATATTCTATAATTTCACTTAATAAAAAAATTTAAGGGGATGGAAAGTCTAACAGAATTTACTAGGGGCTGGGCTGGGAAGGGGAGAATGGAAAGTTATTATTTAGTGGGTATAGAGTCTCTGTTTGGGATGATGAAAACTGTTCAGAAAATGGATAGAGGTAATGGCTGCACAACATTGTGAATGTACTTAATGCCACTAAATGGTACACTAAAAATGGTTGAAATGGTTTACAAAGTACTTCTAATAAAATATGACTAGTATTTCCAAGATGGAAAAAATCATATTCTAGTCTCAAGCATCTGAAAAGATAGCCGTTGCTCAACAAAATAATTTTACATATACTTTTCTGCTTATGATGCAACATAAATATCTTCTAGTTGCTGGGCCACACAGTTCACATTATTTCCTCATTCTTTGGACACCCAGGAGCAGACTTATACAGTTTCAGGAAACTGTCAATAACAGTTTTTGCCACTTTGCACCATTAAGTGTTATCTTTGAATCATGCGTTGGCTAAATCATGTAGACTGTTCTGTTTTTTTCATGGTTACTATAGAAACTGCAGTCACGATGTTTTGAGGAGACCAGCAGGAAATGTAAAAGTGTACAATAAAAGTTAACTTATTTCATGGTTGAAAATTTCTTCCAGCTGTCTCCATTTGTGGTGATTATTGTGTTCACATTGGGAGTATAAACATACAACCAAAAGAGCTCTGGTGACTATGGCCAATAAACCATCTCACCCCTAACACAATTCCCTCCCAACATCTTTTCCTCAAAGATTTGTAATAGGAATGCATGAAACAAGTGATATGTAAGGTTCAGGTGTTTTCAATTACTTCTCTTGTATGAACAGAAGTTTCCTGAATCCAAAACATGTTTCAGCACAAAGGGTTTTCCTTATTTTTGAAGATGGTGTCGTCTTAGGAAAATTTCGTCTACATATCTCTGATTCACCGATGCTTTCTCAATAAAGCATCTCCTCTGAGCTCTTCTACACAATTATTTCCTCCATGAGTGACCAAAAGTGTGGTACATTTAACTATTTCTTTTTGAAGTGTGCTCTTAGAAGGTATATAACCTTTGCCCTTGCAATAAAGAGATAAATGAATGCTCAGCACTGGGATTTGTAATAGATTCCTTGTCAGTTACATCACCACAGAGCATTCCAGCACAATGCCTCCACTGTCTTCCCGCTCAGGGACTGTCACTCTCTCTCTAGTATGGCATAGGTGAGGGAAGATAGACTCATCTCTGATGGTATAAATAATTAACTTCCTAAATGTTGACAGTCATGCAAGATTATTCAAGGATTATAAAGAAATAATGTGTTTTTGCAGCATTTTATTTTCCGAAGTTTCTGTGAATAAAAGTGAAAAGATTGATTTTTAGGTTTCAGCAGCCATAGATAGCAATGGGCTTTATCTTATGGTGTCAGAAACTTGCCACTTAATCATTGCCCTCTGCAAGTTAGCAGCAGCACTCTATTTATAAATATCTTGCAGGAATTGTGAGCATTACTTCATTAACATTTTAATGAGCATCATTAATAATATTCATTTTAGGGAAACAAATTCATCTACAAATGAACTAGATGAATACAATGAAAAATAAATCCAAAACTTTACCTCCTGCTTTATACCCCAAAATAGGTAAACATTTTAATGTATCCTGCCTACACACACACACACACACACACACAGGCGCGCACACACACACACACACACACACACTGTGATTTTGGCAGGAAAGGGTAAAATATGAAATGGTAAACACTAGTTCTACGATAACATTTTTGATTAATTGAAGAGCTTTGAAGAGAAATCCAAATTTTCAGATAAGTATCAGGGCTGGAGTTCTTTTAGAGGATAAACTTTTGCTATTCTTGGCCCTTACTTCAGTGTCTAAATACAGGAGACATTAACATTTAACCAATCTGAGTAAGTTTTACGTTTATAATAACAATACAACTCTGCAGCCGTTGTTGTTCAAAGGGTACAAAGTTTCAGTTAAACAGGATGACTAAGTTCTGGAAATCCATTGTACAGCCTGGTGACTGTTAATAATAATGTATTGTATACTTGAAAGTTACTAAAAGAGTAGAGCTTACAGGTTTTCACCATAAAACAAATGTTAAGTATGTAAGCATAAATCTTATTTTGATTGAATTAATCATTCCATCCAACATATACATACCTCAAAATACCATGTTGTACACTGTAAATATATACTATCTTTGTCAATCCTGTCTTAATAATGCTGGGGAAAAAAACTAATACAACTTTGTGCTTAGACAATATAGATGGTTACTACTCAATTATCTATGTTTACGAGAGTACTGACTTAAAATATACCTATATAAATTTATTCATAATCATTATTTGGAATACATTATGGAGACAAACCAGAGACAAGTAGAAATTTGGTTTTATTTTTGAAGTTTTGCTTTCCTAAAATTTTACTTTTCTTAGGCTAACCGTAGTTTCAGTATATTCAATGTCATGAGATTACCAGCCTGTTATTTAAATTTAACAGCAATATGAAAAAATGTGAAACTTTTGGAATTATTTGAGAAGAGTATTATGCTGTCCTAAATAAGTTATGTATGTGTCTGGATTGCGGTCCTGAAAATGAGGGAGAAAGCTTCCCTAAATAAGAAGTCAATATGATTACGAAGTGACCAAATTTTACCTTAATATCAACAGATTAAAAAGGTCAGTGATAAAACTCTTCTCTACCTTCTATCTGCATAGTGTGTTGTATTTTATATTCGTCAATGAGTAGAGTTCAGATAGAAGGAGCCACATAGTCACCAGGAGCATAACAACCGCAAGAAATGTTTTTCATGTTTACGTCTTATGCCTTCTATGTAGAAAACAGTTGGAATTATAAGAAGCCTCCTGGATAGGTTGGGGAGGGAAAGGAATCCACTTCCAAGACGCCCCATTCACATGGTTGGCAAAGTGGTCCTGACAGCACATTCCTATCCACATCGTCCTTACCTTAAGGCAGGTCAGGCTTCCTCACACCTGCTCCCTAGGTTCCAAGGGTGTGTGGCCTAAGAAACAGAAAGTGGGAGCTGCCCATTTCTTAGGGTATGGATGCAGAAACCAACAGCATCACTCAGACATGTTCTATTACTCAAGCAGTTACAGAGCCCAGATGAAAAGGGAGGCAATATAGACTTCGCCTCTCTATAGAACGCCTGTCAAAGGATTGTGTGCCATTGTAAACCCATTATTATTTGTAAATTGCCAAGAAATTACACACTACTTTGCAGCTTGATCTTGCCTTTCTAAATGCAACTGGGAATGGGAATGTCTGCCCCAATCACTGACAATAAAATATATTCCAAGTCCACCCCAAATTCAGTTGGTGGAACCACTGAATCCTGATGTTTCAAAGAATCAGAACAGGCAAGAAACTATGGCCTTTTATGTTTTGGGTGGGTATATTGTGAATTTAATTGAGGCAAGAATCTTTTTGAATATTTCTCTGAGGCAACAATTGGTTCTACAGATTACAAATTAACTCTTAATTTCTTCCACCACCTTTCCAGGGCTTCTAAACATCTTTCCCTCTTCCTTTAATCTCTAAAATCCATTGGGATTAGCTGGAGCTATACTGTGAAGAGCTGGTAGTTTTGTTTAGTTTTTACCTTTCAAGTTTATTTTTCCCTGTTATGCATTGTAATCACCAGATATTTTTGGAGTATCTATTATTCACTAAGCATGAAAATAATGTATAAGAATAATACATTCATGCCTTCATGAAAGTCATAGACCAGTGGGAAAGATACTTGTAACCAAATATTTAAAGAATCATAGAAGTACTACAACAAAACTAAATACAAAGTCCTGAGGGTTGTTTAAAGAACAATAATTACAGATAGGTGCCAAGGAGCTGATTTTAAGAGACAGGGTAGATGTTTCAGGCTAATGGAGAAAACAAAGGCTGATCAGGACATGCAGTAAATACATGGAATGCACTGGGCAGCTTTAAGGAACAGTCATTTATATTGGTACATTTAGAATAAGGAATAAAAGAAGGAATAAGGAAATGAGTCCAGAAAGGTAAACTGAGTCACATCATGAGCTTTGTGTTCTGGGGCCAAGTGTTTGAACATGCTCCCATAAGTTATAGAAGAGAAAGAATAACCCTAGCTTCTCCTTTGGAATCCAGAAGCATGCAGGATAGTGATGAAGATAGAATTTGTTCCACTATAAAATAGTGGTTATTTTTCCAAGAAATGTCAGCTTTTGAAAATCATCTACAAAAGGCTCAGGATTGCAGCTCCCAGTGAAAGTGCAGAGGGTGAGTGGCCACTGCATTTCCAGACAGATCTTTATTGCCCACAGACCAGGGGATTCCCAGGTGGAGGATTCCCAGCCCTGTTTTGGCTGGGGCGGCTGTTTTGCCAGCGCCCCACCACGGTGGCTCTCCATACAAAATACACTGGTCTGGTTGCCCTTTTAAACTGGCAATTGGAGCTCCGAGAAGGCAGATTCACCCATTCATCTGATTAAATGGGGGTCTGAAACAGGGAGCCAGGCCAGGAGATTCCTGGGCAGTTCTATTGTTTCAGCCAGAGCAGTGGGTCACCGCATGGAAAATCACACAGATCCCAGTTCCCTTTCAGCAGGTGACTGGAACACCTGGGTGAGAGTCAATCATTCAACTTAATTTAAAAAAAGGCTCTGAAGCAGGGAGCCAGGTGATCAGGCTCGGTGGGTCCCACCCCCACAAAAACAAAAACAAAAACAGAAAAACAGCAATTGGAAATGCTCAAGGTTGAGAGTTTCACACAAGCACAGCTGAACCCAGGATGGTCCCCCTGTGTGGGGGAGGGGCGTCCGCCATTACCAAGGCACTCCACCCCTACGGAGGTAGTCTGCCATTGCTGAGGCAGCTGCCATTGCTAAGGCAGCCCACCATAACAGAGAGAGTCCGCCATTACAGAAGCAGGCCACCATTTCCTAGGCAGTTCTAACCACACCCATATAAACAGGACTGCAGGAAAGTTCACACAGCAGCAGGGCAGAGCCCACAGCAGCTCAGCAAATCCTCTGCAGGCAGACAGTGACTAGGCTGCCTCCTTGCTGGGCAGGGCAGCCCTGAAAAAAAAAGGCAGCAGCACAACAGATACTCATAAATAAAGCCCTAACTCCCCAGGACAGATCACCTGGGGGACAAAAGGGGGGGTTATTAGTTCTGCAGCAGCAGACTTAAATGTACCTGCCTAGCATCTCTGAATGAACAACAGAGTTCATAGCTCAGCACTTGAGCTCCTATAAAGAACAGACTGTCTCCTCAAGCAGCTCCCTGACCCCCATATATCCAAAGAGTCACCTCACAAAGGACTGATCAGACTGACATTTGGCAGGCATCATTCTGGGACAAAGATAGCAGCAGAAGAAACTGGTAGCAACCCTTACTGTTCTGCAGCTGCTGCAGATGATCCCCAGGCAAGCAGGGCCTGGAGTGGACCTCAGCAGTCCTACAGCAGAGGGGCCAGACTGTTAGAAGGAAAACTAAGGAAGAGAAATAACTTCATCATCAACAATCTGGATGTCCACTCAGAGACCCAATCTGAAAATCAGCAACTACAAAGACGACAGGTGGATAAATCCGCAAAGATGGGAAGAAACCAGCGCAAAAAAGGAGGAAGACACCCAAAACCAGAACACCTCTCCTCCTACAAGGAATCACAACTCCTCGCCAGCAAGGGAACAAAGCTGGATAGAGAATGAGTGTGATGAAATGACAGAATCAGACTTCAGAACATAGGTAATGAGAAACTTCCGTGAGCTAAGAGCACATGTTCTAACTCAATGCAAAGAAACTAAGAACCTTGAAAAAAGATTTGAAGACATGATAACAAGAATGGACAACTTAGAGAGGAATATGAGTGAATTGATGGAGCTGAAAAACAACACAAGAACTTCGCGAAGCATGCACAAGTTTCAACAGCGAAATTGACCAAG